TCAAATTCCAATCGGGGGCCGAATGGCTCACAGGGCTATACCAAAATAAATAAACTGAAACACCATCAGCACTGTCGTATATTCGGAGGTTGACACAAAAAGACGGGGTACCACTTTGTGTGCGTGCGATCAACAGCGGTCGTCCTCTGGTAAGTGCTCGCCACAGGAACGTGGAATTTCCACCTAAGGTGCCGACGCTTTAGAAACGGGGGTGGGTGGGGTGGGGTGGGTCGGTGTGGTGGGTGGGGTGGGTGTGGTGGGATGGGTGGGGTAGGGTGGGTAGGGTAGGGTGGGTGTGGTGGGTTGGTGGGTGGGGTGGGTGTGGTGGGATGGGTGGGGTAGGGTGGGTGAGGTGGGAATCGAACCTGAGGCTAACACAAACCCGGCCCAGAGGCGAGAGAGTTCACCCGTCATTCGGCAAGGTCACCCGGTGACGTTCGACCGGCAGCGTTCGCCACTTTTGCGTCTTCACGTGGCCCCGTCTACAAAATGGCCGCGCTCACGAGCGCAACGTCCTCATCGCAAATACATTTTGGCTTGGCGGGAGCCGCGACGCGCAGCCCCCCACCCACCCACCCACCCCACCCCACCGCGGTCTCGACGGGGAGCAAAAACGTTGATCCCCACACCTCCCTCTGCCTACACACACACACCCTCCCCCCCCTCGACGACTTAAGACACCGATTCTGTGGTCACAACGCGGCTTGCACTCCCGCAAGCCTCGACCCAGACTCCCCTTCGGGAGCGTCGCAATCCCACCCCCCACCCCCCACCCCCCACCCCGAAACCCGGCCTCCACCGCTTATTTTCCACCACCACCAACACCACCATCACCACCATCACCACCACCATCACCACCACCACATCCCATCCCCCCCACTGGCCGACCACATCCATCTAAACCCCTCGCTGGACTACGCCAGGGGGTGGTTTAGTTTTTGTTTTTTACTTTCGACCTCCCGGAACTTCGACCCAAATGCGTGGAACTCGCGGTGCTGGGCTTCGGGAGACACGAAACTAAATAATTATAATTCTGGCTTAGGGGCGCCGAGCAGGGCCAGGGGCTCGGGGCGGGCCCTTAACGACGCGGTTTGACGTCGGCCGGTGATGCAATCGATCACGTGCGTGTGACGTCACACGCACGTGATCGATTGCGAGCGTGTAACGTCACACGCACGTGATCGATCGCGTGCGTGTGACGTCACAACGGCGTCGCGATCGATCGCGAGTGTGTGACGTCACAGCGGCGTCGCGATCGATCGCGAGTGTGTGACGTCACAGCGGCGTCGCGATCACGTGCGCGTGACGTCACACGCACGTGATCGATCGCGAGCGTGTGACGTCACAGCGGCGTCACGATCAATCGCGAGCGTGTGACGTCACACGCTCGCGATTGCGACGTCGGTGGCTGTGCAGTGGGGGAAAAGACAATAAAAAGATCAAAACCAAACAACTCCCCCCCCCCCCCAACCCAACGAGATCCTTGAGCTGTGGCAGGGGGCTGCCCCCCCCCAAACAAAACGGCGGGGGGGGGGGTGAGAGGTGGTGGTCCTCAAGTGCTCGGACATTAAATTCGTGGTCATCCCGCAACACAAACGGGGGGGGGGGGGCACGGGGGGGGGGGGGCACGGTGGGAGGGGGGCACGGTGGGAGGGGGGCACGGTGGGAGGGGGGCACGGTGGGAGGGGGGCACGGTGGGAGGGGGGCTGTAACTTGCCGTGTGGCATCTCGCTTGGCGAGATGCCGTGGAGGAGGAGGGGGGGGGGGGGTTGAGATTTGTCAGGGGACACTTGTGAGGTTCAGTGCTCTTATAAAAAATGAGGGCACGGTGGAGGGGGAGGAGGGGGGAAGGGGAGGAGCGGGAGGTTTCCCAAAGCCCACAATACATTCAAGTGCAGCAGCAGCATCACCGTCACCGTCATCATCATCATACATTCGTACGCTCGCCCATACCGCCCGCACGTAAAGCACCAATGGAGAGTGGCGCGCGGCACCAACTGGCGCTCGCACGCTCGCTCGCAACACACGTACAGACGTACGTACAAGTACGTGTACACGCATGCATATGCACATCATATATACACACACATACACACACGCGCGCACACACAGACGAGACGAGATCCCACCCCCCCCGCGCGCTATGTGGCCAGGAAAGGTGCAGACAAGTTAAGTGAGCGTCTATTAAGGCGAGGAAGGTTAACGACACGGGGCGGGGGGAGGTTGCGGCCATAACGTCACTGCCAATCGGAGCTCGGTTAAGGCCGGAGACGGATTGGCACACTGACGTTGTGGCTAGGGGATGTTAACGACCTCGCCCGGTGTACAGGAGGTCGCGGGTTCGATCTCGACCAGGACACCTGCTGTGTATTTGAAGTTTGCGTGTCTCTCTGTTATCATCATCATCATCATCACGGTGGCTATGAGATGTTAACTACCTCGCCTGGTATACAGGAGGTCTGTGTCTCTCTCTCATCATCATCATCACGGTGGCTAGGAGATGTTAACTACCTCGCTTGGTATACAGGAGGTCTGTGTCTCTCTCTCATCATCACCATCATCACGGTGGCTAGGAGATGTTAACTACCTCGCCTGGTGTACAGGAGGTCTGTGTCTCTCTCTCATCATCACCATCATCATCACGGTGGCTATGAGATGTTAACTACCTCGCCTGGTATACAGGAGGTCTGTGTCTCTCTCTAATCATCACCATCATCACGGTGGCTATGAGATGTTAACTACCTCGCCTGGTATACAGGAGGGTTCGATCCCGACCATGACGACACCTGTCGCTGTATATTTGGAGTTTGCGTGCGTGTCTCTCTCTCCACATTGAGAATCAACGTCACGCGTTTAAGAGTATTTGTCTGCCGCTATAGATATCCACTTTGTTGCGCTATCGCTGGCGATGGCCAGGATCGTGTCTGAAATCGAGCCACATGGGTCAGTGGGCCTTACCCGGTAGAATAAACAACAGCTGAGACTAGATTATCCATGGCCAGGAATCGAACCCAGGTGACTGGAAATCTAAGGGAAGTGTCTGAACCAATGCACCATCACTCCTGGTACTCTGTTCACGGTTACACACAAAATACCAAGTACATAAACAAACTGCATATGCGCATAAGTGCGTACACACGCATACACGGATATATGTTACAGAACATTCATACAAATACTTAAATAGACCTACAAACATTCACACGTAAACACACACACATTCCCATGTCTCCCTCTCTCACCTTGTCTCCCCATGTCTCTCTGTGCCTTCCCTTGCCTCTCACCATGTCTTGCTACGTCTCACCATGTCTCCCTGTGTCTCACCATGTCTCCCTGTGTCTCACCACGTCTCTCCGTGTCTTACCATGTCTCCCTGTGTCTCACTACGTCTCTCCGTGTCTCACCATGTCTCCCTGTGTCTCACCACGTCTCCCTGTGTCTCACCATGTCTCCCTGCGTCTCACCACGTCTCTCCGTGTCTTACCATGTCTCTCCGTGTCTCACCACGTCTCCCTGTGTCTCACCATGTCTCCCTGCGTCTCACCACGTCTCTCCGTGTCTCACCATGTCTCTCCGTGTCTTACCATGTCTCCCTGTGTCTCACTACGTCTCCATGTCTCACCATGTCTCCCTGTGTCTCACCATGTCTCCCTGCGTCTCACCACGTCTCCCTGTGTCTCACTACGTCTCTCCGTGTCTTACCATGTCTCCCTGTGTCTCACTACGTCTTTCCGTGTCTCACCATGTCTCCCTGTGTCTCACCATGTCTCCCTGCGTCTCACCATGTCTCCCTGTGTCTCACTACGTCTTTCCGTGTCTCACCATGTCTCCCTGTGTCTCACCATGTCTCCCTGCGTCTCACCACGTCTCTCCGTGTCTTACCATGTCTCCCTGTCTCTCACTACGTCTTTCCGTGTCTCACCATGTCTCCCTGCGTCTCACCATGTCTCCCTGTGTCTCACTACGTCTTTCCGTGTCTCACCATGTCTCCCTGTGTCTCACCATGTCTCCCTGCGTCTCACCACGTCTCTCCGTGTCTCACCATGTCTCCCTGTGTCTCACCATGTCTCCCTGTGTCTCACTACGTCTCCATGTCTCATCATGTCTCCCTGTGTCTCACTATGTCTCCCTGTGTCTCACCATGTCTCCATGTCTCACCATGTCTCCCTGCGTCTCACCATGTCTCCCTGTGTCTCACTATGTCTCCCTGTGTCTCACCACGTCTCTCCGTGTCTCACCATGTCTCACTGTGTCTCACTACGTCTCCATGTCTCACCATGTCTCCGTGTCTCCCTATGTCTCAATACGTCTCTCCGTGTCTCACCATGTCTCCCTGTGTCTCACTAATTATCCACGTCTCACCATGTCTGTGTCTCACCATGTCTCCCTGTGTCTCACCATGTCTCCCTGTGTCTCACTAATTCTCCACGTCTCACCATGTCTCCGTGTCTTACTACATCTCTCCATGTCTCACCATGTCTCCCTGTGTCTCACTAATTCTCCATGTCTCACCATGTCTCCGTGTCTCACCACGTCTCTCCGTGTCTCACCATGTCTCCCTGTGTCTCACTAATTCTCCACGTCTCACCATGTCTCACCATGTCTCCGTGTCTCACCACGTCTCTCCGTGTCTCACCATGTCTCCCTGTGTCTCACTAATTCTCCACGTCTCACCATGTTTCCGTGTCTCCCTATGTCTCAATACGTCTCCCTGTGTCTCATTAAGTCTCCGTGTCTCACCATGTCTCCCTGCGTCTCACCACATCTCCCCGCCCACCCCCCCCCCTCCCAAATATCTCTCATCGCCCCAATATCTCCCCTCCCACCCCCCCCCCGTCCCAATATCCCCCCCCCCTCGCCCACCCTCCAATACCTCCCACCCCAATATCTCCCCGCCCACCCCCAATATCTCCCCCCCCCAATACCTCCCACCCCCAATATCTCCCCGCCCACCCCCAATATCTCCCCGCCCACCCCCAATATCTCCCCGCCCACCCCCAATATCTCCCGGCGCCGTCTCCCCGCGTCTCCTCCCGGCGGCGACGTCGTCGCCCCGTTCAGTGCTTGCCAGGCCTCTCCTTGTTGAGGGAGGACGCGAGGCCTCGTGGGGTCTCCTCGCCGCTCAGGAGCGCCTTGATCTCAGACGGGATCTTGCCCTGGTCCATTGCAATGCACCACTGCTTGTACTGATGGCACGCGGGGAGGAGGGGGAGGAGGGGGCGGAGCGGGGGGCGGAAAGGCAAGGTTAATGAGAGATGCAGGGTAGACGGAATGGGAGGGGGGAAGGTAGCGGGAGACACGGGGAGATAGGGGGAGACGCAGGGAGACAGTGGGAGACACGGGAGACAGGGGGAGACAGGGGGAGACAGGGGGAAGGTAGGGGGAGATATTTGGAGACAGTGGGAGACACAGGGAGACAGGGGGAGATAGGGGGAGACGCAGGGAGACAGTGGGAGACACGGGAGACAGGGGGAGATAGGGGGAGACGCAGGGAGACAGGGGGAAGGTAGGGGGAGACACAGGGAGACAGGGCGGAGACACAGGGAGACAGGGGGAAGGTAGGGGGAGATATTTGGAGACAGTGGGAGACACAGGGAGACAGTGGGGAGGTAGGGGGAGATAGTGGGAGACAGGGGGAGACAGTGGAAGACGCGGGGAGACAGTGGGGAGATAGGGGGAGACGCAGGGAGATATTGGGAGATAGTGGGAGACAGGGGGAGACGCAGGGAGATATTGGGAAGGTAGGGGGAGATATTGGGAGACAGTCGGAGACACGGGGAGATAGGGGGAGACACAGGGAGACGGGGGGAAGGTAGGGGGAGATATTGGGAGACAGTCGGAGACACGGGGAGACAGGGGGGAGACACAGGGAGACAGTGGGAGACACGGGGAGACACGGGGAGACAGGGGGAAGGTAGGGGGAGATAGTGGGAGACAGTCGGAGACACGGGGAGACAGGGGGAGACAGGGGGAAGGTAGGGGGAGATATTGGGAGATAGTGGGAGACAGGGGGAGACAGGGGGAAGGTAGGGGGAGACAGAGGGAGACAGGGGGGAGACACGGGGAGACAGGGGGAAGGTAGGGGGAGATATTTGGAGACAGTGGGAGACACGGGGAGACAGTGGGGAGGTAGGGGGAGATAGTGGGAGACAGGGGGAGACGCGGAGAGACAGTGGGGAGATAGGGGGAGACAGGGGGAAGGTAGGGGGAGATAGTGGGAGACACGGGGAGACACGGGGAGACAGTGGGGAGGTAGGGGGAGACAGTCGGAGACACGAGGAAGGTCGGGGAGATATTGGGAGTCAGGGGGAGACAGGAAGACAGTGGGAAGGTAGGATGTCTCCATGCAATGAGTTGATCGTCGTTTGCAGGGGGAGAGCGAGGGGAGAGCGAGGGGAGAGCGAGGGGAGAGCGAGGGGAGAGCGAGGGGAGAGCGAGGGGAGAGCGACGGGAGAGCGACGGGAGAGCGAGGGGAGAGCGAGGGGAGAGCGAGGGGAGAGCGAGGGGAGAGCGAGGGGAGAGCGAGGGGAGAGCGAGGGGGAGAGCGAGGGGGAGAGCGAGGGGAGAGCGAGGGGGAGAGCGAGGGGAGAGCGAGGGGAGAGCGAGGGGAGAGCGAGGGGAGAGCGAGGGGAGAGCGAGGGGGAGAGCGAGGGGAGAGCGAGGGGAGAGCGAGGGGGAGAGCGAGGGGAGAGCGAGGGGAGAGCGAGGGGGAGAGCGAGGGGAGAGCGAGGGGAGAGCGAGGGGGAGAGCGAGGGGAGAGCGAGGGGAGAGCGAGGGGGAGAGCGAGGGGGAGAGCGAGGGGAGAGCGAGGGGAGAGCGAGGGGAGAGTGACGGGAGAGCGAGGGGAGAGCGAGGGGAGAGCGAGGGGAGAGCGAGGGGAGAGCGAGGGGAGAGCGGGGGGAGAGCGAGGGGAGAGCGAGGGGGAGAGCGAGGGGAGAGCGAGGGGAGAGCGAGGGGAGAGCGAGGGGAGAGCGAGGGGAGAGCGAGGGGAGAGCGAGGGGGAGAGCGAGGGGAGAGCGAGGGGAGAGCGAGGGGAGAGCGAGGGGAGAGCGAGGGAGAGCGAGGGGAGAGCGAGGGGAGAGCGAGGGGAGAGCGAGGGGAGAGCGAGGGGAGAGCGAGGGGAGAGCGAGGGGAGAGCGAGGGGAGAGCGAGGGGAGAGTGACGGGAGAGCGAGGGGGAGAGTGACGGGAGAGCGAGGGGAGAGCGAGGGGAGAGTGACGGGAGAGCGAGGGGGAGAGCGAGAGAGTTGTGATGATGGCGACGACGCTTCACGGTGAAAGCCATCTCGGGCGGCGGCGGTGGGGGCAGCAGTGGCGGTGGTGGTGGTGGTGGCGCCTCGCTCACCATGTCGAGCTCCTCGCGCAGGGCGCATATGGCGCGCTCGCGTCCCGACACCATCTCCTCCAGGCACTGGTAGCGCTGCTTCTTGCGAGCGCGGCACTCCCTGGCGCTCTGCCGGCTGCGCTCCAGCTTGGCCTTGAGGTCGATCTTGGCCGGCTTGCGCCCACGCTTGCCCGGCTTCTTCACCTGCTGCTGCGGCGGCGGCGGCGGTCGCAAGAGAGAAACGGGGGAGAGGGAGTCAAAGAGAGAGCAAGACGGAGAGAGACAGAGAGACAGAGAGGTGACCGAGAGAGAGAGAGAAACAGAGAGAGAGACAGAGAGGTGACCGAGAGAGAAACAGAGAGACAGAGAGAGAGACAGAGAGAGAGAGAGAGAGACAGAGAGAGAGAGACAGAGAGACAGAGAGAGAGACAGAGAGGTGACCGAGAGAGAGAGAGAGAAACAGAGAGAGAGACAGAGAGGTGACCGAGAGAGAAACAGAGAGACAGAGAGAGAGAGAGAGAGACAGAGAGAGAGAGACAGAGAGACAGAGAGAGAGACAGAGAGGTGACCGAGAGAGAGAGAAACAGAGAGACAGAGAGAGAGAGACAGAGAGACAGAGAGAGAGACAGAGAGGTGAACGAGAGAGAGAAACAGAGAGACAGAGAGGTGAACGAGAGAGAGAAACAGAGAGACAGAGAGGTGAACGAGAGAGAGAAACAGAGAGACAGAGAGAGAGACAGAGAGGTGACCGAGAGAGAGAAACAGAGAGACAGAGAGAGAGACAGAGAGACAGAGAGAGAAACAGAGAGACAGAGAGACACAGAGGTGACGGAGAGAGAGAGAGAGAGAAACAGAGAGACAGAGAGAGAGACAGAGAGGTGACCGAGAGAGAGAGAGAAACAGAGAGACAGAGAGAGAGAGACAGAGAGACAGAGAGAGAGAAACAGAGAGACAGAGAGAGAGAGACAGAGAGACAGAGAGAGAAACAGAGAGACAGAGAGAGAAACAGAGAGACAGAGAGGTGACCGAGAGAGAGAGAGAGAAACAGAGAGACAGAGAGAGAGAGACAGAGAGACAGAGAGACACAGAGGTGACCGAGAGAGAGAAACAGAGAGACAGAGAGAGAGACAGAGAGGTGACCGAGAGAGAGAGAGAGAAAAACAGAGAGACAGAGAGAGAGACAGAGAGAGAAACAGAGAGACAGAGAGAGAAACAGAGATGTGACCGAGAGAGAGAGAGAAACAGAGAGACAGAGAGAGAGACAGAGAGAGAGACAGAAAGACAGAGAGAGAAACAGAGAGACAGAGAGAGAGACAGAGAGGTGACCGAGAGAGAGAGAGAAACAGAGAGACAGAGAGAGAGAGACAGAGAAACAGAGAGACAGAGAGAGAAACAGAGAGAGACAGCGTCGCGGACAAATGGGCGGGTGGGTGCGGCAATGAGAAGCAGAGAAGCCGAGGCGGAGATCGTGGTGCCGATAGGGGCGCTGTGGCGGCGGTAAGTGGCGATGCTTAGAATCAAGAATCACAATTATCGGTGTGTTGGAGAGTAAACCTGATAGATTTACAACTGTGGGTTTACTCTCCAAGCGCACAACCGGTTAGTGCTGAACTGGTGAACTGCACACACTACTTCACGATAATTGTAAATGTTGTAGTGGTTAGTGCTGTAATAATAGTAACGAATTGGCCACGTTTTACTGATTGGCTGTGTCGGGTGGTAGTGGCGGGTTTAACGACACATTTGTGTTTACGTGGCCTAACCCAAGCAAACCTCTATTATGTTCGAATTGCACGTGTAAGAAGTTAAGTTGCCAATCCATTAAAGCACCGCGCACATTTATGATGGCGACGGTTATTATTGTTATTTACAGCGGGAAATGGAACGAAGGCAATCTTCGTCGTCAGAAGCAGCACGTGGATGGTGGTGGTGGTGGTGGCAATGACGTCATAATTAAGAGACCCCGGGGGGTGGGAGGGGGGTGTGTCAATCAGAGAGACAAACGCGAGGCAGCCCTGCAAATGTCTTGCTCAGCGCTCCGTCGAAGCAGCTCTTAGGGAGTGACCATGTCCCACCAACTCTCCCTCTCTCGCTCCCTCTCTCTGATGATGGTGATGATGAAGTCGATACTGCGGCCTCATGGCTCCATGCTAGCTCGACAAGCCACCGACCCCCACCTCTATGTGCTGGATCTTCTTCACTTTGCCATCACCACCTCCTCCTCCTCCTCCTAGAACCCCACCACCTCCTCCACCTCCTCCAACTCCACCAACTCCACCACCTCCTCCAACTCCACCCACTCCTCCAAGAGCCTACAAAGGACAGCACGTGACAATGAGTACAAGCCTGGATGTACTTGTGGATACTCAGTCCGGCGTCAATTGCTTGACCGGTCGTCTGTGTTAAGGAGACTCTAGACGCGACAACGAGCACCAGCCCGGATTGTACCTGTGGCCACTCGGCCCGGGGTCACGTCCTGGCCAGTCTTCTCGCTACGAACCCGGCTTGGGTTTCCATTCCCGCTCGCGACCACCGACAACCGCTTGACGATTATCCGAACTGATCTTGGTCAACTTAGGTCAACGACCCCTTAGGTCAACGACCCTCGTGTGCTACAGTGCCAGCCTTCACAGCTTCACAGTGCCAGCCTTCACAGTGCCAGCCCACACAGTGCCAGCCTACACAGCATCACCGTGCCAGCCTTCACCGTGCCAGCCTTCACAGTGCCAGCCTACACATTGCCAGCCTTGACAGCTTCACCGTGCCAGCCTACACAGCTTCACCGTGCCAGCCTTCACAGTGGCAGCCTTCACAGTGCCAGCCTACACAGCTTCACCGTGCCAGCCTACACAGCTTCACCGTGCCAGCCTTCACAGTGCCAGCCTTCACAGCTTCACAGTGCCAGCCTACACAGTGCCAGCCTTCACAGTGCCAGCCCACACAGCTTCACCGTGCCAGCCTTGACAGCTTCACCGTGCCAGCCTTCACAGTGCAGCCTACACAGTTCCAACCTACACAGTGCCAGCCTACACAGTGCCAGCCTACACAGTGCCAGCCTTGACAGCTTCACAGTGCCAGCCTTCACAGTGCCAGCCTTCACCGTGCCAGCCTACACAGCTTCACAGTGCCAGCCTTGACAGCTTCACCGTGCCAGCCTTCACAGTGCCAGCCTACACAGCTTCACCGTGCCAGCCTTCACAGCTTCAGAGTGCCAGCCTTCACAGCTTCACAGTGCCAGCCTTCACAGCGTCACAGTGCCAGCCTTCACAGCTTCACCGTGCCAGCCTTCACAGCGTCACAGTGCCAGCCTTCACAGCTTCACAGTGCCAGCCTTCACAGCTTCACCGTGCCAGCCTTCACAGCGTCACAGTGCCAGCCTTCACAGCGTCACAGTGCCAGCCTTCACAGCGTCACAGTGCCAGCCTACTCGCGGATTTTAGCCCCCGTGTCCCCGCGGTGCACGCCGCTACACCGGCTACTGACACACAGAATACTGTCTGCAGTACGAATACAAAAAACAAAGATCCCCCGTATAGCCTGCACAAGACTGCTGGGGCAAGTGCTGTCAGCGAGCAACTACGGAGGCCGGAACTGTGACGACGCACGAGGGGGTTGGGGTGGCCGGCGCCGCGCCCGACCGCCTTTGTCTCCCCAGCGGCGATATTTAGACACACCGCATCAGGCAACTCATTTGAGGCCGAGTCGACCCAGGGGAGGCCCAGTTCAGATAATCGTCACTGGTGTTGTGAGTGGGAATGGAACTCGTGGTCGCTAGGTTCCTAGAGCAGCGCGCTAACCGCTGCACCACCGCTCCCCACACTACTACAGCACACGTGGGCACAGTTACGGTAAGCACTAGAGTACAGTCAACATAGTCCAATGCCATACAGTGTACACCAGAGTACAGCAAAGCGCACACACACACACACAAGCGTAACAGATAACACACTGGCATACAGTAAACACACACTATAGTACAAAGACAAAGATCCCCCGTATAGCCTTTAACGGACTTGGGGCAAGTGCTGTTAGCGAGCACCTACGAAGGCCGGCACTGTTGCACATGAGGGGGTGGGTGGCCAGCGCCACGCCCGACCGCCTTTGTCTCCCCATCAGATACTCATCTGAGGATGAGTCTACCTAGACTACCGCTCTTCCATTACACACTATAGCACAAAGACAAAGATCACCCGTATAGCCTTAACAGACTGTTGGGGGCACTATAGTACACACACTACAATAACAGTATGCACACAATACAGTATACACACTACAGTACACGCACTACAGTATACACACCGCCGTACAGTATACACTACTGTACACACAATACAGTATACACTACTGTACACACAATACAGTATACACACCGCCGTACAGTATCCACACTACTGTACACACTGCAGTACACACGCACTACAGTACACACCGCCGTACAGTATACACACTACTGTACACGCACTACAGTACAGACTGCCGTACAGTACGCACGCGACAGTATACACACCGCCGTACAGTATACACACTACTGTACACGCACTACAGTACAGACTGCCGTACATTACGCGCACTACAGTATACACACCGCCGTACAGTATACACACTACTGTACACGCACTACAGTACAGGCTGCCGTACAGCATGCACGCGACAGTACGCGCGCATCAGGGTTACGCGGCACAGTACACATGGCGCTACAGTGCGGTATACAGTGCGCGCTGTCACGTGACATCACGGTTCGCGTGTCTGCTACACAGGGAAGTTCGCCGCCGCCGCCGGAGTTTTTCAGGAAGGCGACGCCGATTCCCCTACGCTCCAAAGGAGTTTTAACTTTACTCCACATACAATTCCCTTACTCCACATACAATTCCCTTACTCCATATACAATTCCCTTACTCCATATACAATTCCCTTACTCCAAATACAATTCCCTTACTCCAAATACAATTCCCTTACTCCATGTACAATTCCCTTACTCCACATACAATTCCCTTACTCCATATACAATTCCCTTACTCCATATACAATTCCCTTACTCCATATACAATTCCCTTACTCCACATACAATTCCCTTACTCCATATACAATTCCCTTACTCCATGTACAATTCCCTTACTCCATATACAATTCCCTTACTCCATGTACAATTCCCTTACTCCATATACAATTCCCTTACTCCACATACAATTCCCTTACTCCATATACAATTCCCTTACTCCATGTACAATTCCCTTACTCCATGTACAATTCCCTTACTCCATATACAATTCCCTTACTCCACGTACAATTCCCTTACTCCACGTACAATTCCCTTACTCCACGTACAATTCCCTTACTCCAAATACAATTCCCTTACTCCATATACAATTCCCTTACTCCACATACAATTCCCTTACTCCATATACAATTCCCTTACTCCATGTACAATTCCCTTACTCCACATACAATTCCCTTACTCCATGTACAATTCCCTTACTCCACGTACAATTCTCTTACTCCATGTACAATTCCCTTACTCCATATACAATTCCCTTACTCCATGTACAATTCCCTTACTCCATATCCAATTCCCTTACTCCATATACAATTCCCTTACTCCATATACAATTCCCTTACTCCATGTACAATTCCCTTAATCCATGTACAATTCCCTTACTCCATATACAATTCCCTTACTCCATATACAATTCCCTTACCCCATGTACAGTTCCCTTACTCCACGTACAATTCCCTTACTCCACGTACAATTCCCTTACTCCACGTACAATTCCCTTACTCCATGTACAATTCCCTTACTCCATATACAATTCCCTTACTCCATGTACAATTCCCTTACTCCATGTACAATTCCCTTACTCCATGTACAATTCCCTTACTCCATGTACAATTCCCTTACTCCATATACAATTCCCTTACTCCACATACAATTCCCTTACTCCACATACAATTCCCTTACTCCACGTACAATTCCCTTACTCCATGTACAATTCCCTTACTCCATATACAATTCCCTTACTCCACATACAATTCCCTTACTCCACATACAATTCCCTTACTCCATGTACAATTCCCTTACTCCATGTACAATTCCCTTACTCCATGTACAATTCCCTTACTCCATATACAATTCCCTTACTCCATATACAATTCCCTTACTCCACGTACAATTCCCTTACTCCACGTACAATTCCCTTACTCCATATACAATTCCCTTACTCCATATACAATTCCCTTACTCCATGTACAATTCCCTTACTCCACATACAATTCCCTTACTCCATATACAATTCCCTTACTCCACATACAATTCCCTTACTGCATATACAATTCCCTTACTCCATGTACAATTCCCTTACTCCATGTACAATTCCCTTACTCCATGTACAATTCCCTTACTCCATGTACAATTCCCTTACTCCATGTACAATTCCCTTACTCCATGTACAATTCCCTTACTCCATGTACAATTCCCTTACTCCATGTACAATTCCTGACGCTTCAGTCTCTACAGACACACCGCAGGACACCACCGCCACCCCCTGCCCTACCTTCAGAGTCAACGCACAACAGTGAGTCAACAACAACAACAACTCCATAAACTCCACTCCCGTTAGCCACCCCCCACCTTGTCTGCCCCCGCCCCTACACACACAGATATGTACACACACACACAGAGACACACACACAGACACACACACAGAGACACACACACACACAGACACACACAGAGACACACACACATACACACATACACACAGACACACACAGACACAAACAGACACACACAAACAGGTACACACAGACACAAGACACACAGACACACACAGATACACACAGACACACACAGAGACACACACAGACACACACAGAGACACACACAGATACACACACACAGAGACACACAGACACACACAGAGACACACACACATACACACACAGACACACACAGACACAAACAGACACACACAGACACACACACAGACACACACAGACACACACAGAGACACACACATATATACACACACACACACAGACACACACAGAGACACACACACAGACACAGAGACACACACACAGACACACAGACACACACAGACACACACACACAGATACACACACACAGATACACACACACAAAGACACACAGACACACAGATACACACACACAAAGACACACAGACACATACACACACACATACAGACACACATACACACACAGACACAAACACACACAGACACATACACACACACAGACAAACACACAGACACATACACACACAGAGACAAACTTACACACACAGACACACACAGACACACACACACACAGACACATACAGACACACACAGACACACAGACACAGAGACACACACACAGACACACACAGAGACACACAGACACACAGAGAGACACAAACACAGACACACACAGACACACACACACAGACACACACACACAGATACACACACAGACACACACACAGACACACAGAGACACACAGACACACACACAGACAGAGACACACACAGAGACACACACAGAGACACACAGATACACACATACACAGAGACACAGACACACACAGACACACACAGAGACACACACAAACACACAGACACACAGAGACACACAGACACAGGTACACACAGAGACACACACACAGAGACACACACACAGACACACACACAGAGACACACACAGAGACACACACAGAGACACACACAGACACACACACAGACACACACACCGACACACACACAGACACACACACAGAGACACACACACAGACACACACAGAGACACACACACACAGACGCACACACAGACACACACACAGACACACACACACAGAGATACGCACACAGACACACACACAGACACACACACAGACACACACACACACTGACACACACGCACAGGTACACACACACACAGACACACACACACAGGTACACACACACACAGACACACACAGACACACACAAACAGGTACACACAGACACAAGACACACACAGACACACACACAGACACACACACAGGTACACACAGACACAGGTACACACAGACACAGGTACACACAGACACACACAGACACACACACACAGGTACACACACAGACACACACACACACAGACACACACAGACACACAGGTACACACAGACGCACAGGTACACACAGACACACACACACAGACAGACACACACAGGTACACACACACAGACACAGACACACACACACACAGACACACACAGGTACACACACACACAGACACACACAAACAGGTACACACAGACACAAGACACACAGACACAAACACACACACAGGTACACACAGACACAGACACACACACAGGTACACACAGACAGACACACACAGACACACACACACAGGTACACACACAGACACACAGGTACACACATACACAGACACACACACAGACACACACACAGGTACACACACACAGACACACACACAGACACACACATAGGTACACACACACAGACACACACACACACACAGAGACACACAGACACACACAGACACACACACAGACACACACAGACACACAGACACACACACAGACACACACACAGACACCCACACAGTCACACACACAGGTACACACACACAGACACACACACACAGACACACACACAGACACACACACAGACACACACACAGACACACACACAGGTACACACACACAGACACACACACAGGTACACACACAGACACACACAGACACAGGTACACACAGACACACACACACACAGGTACACACAGACACACACACAGGTACACACACACAGGTACACACACACGTACACACACACAGGTACACACAGACACACACAGGTACACACACACAGGTACACACACACAGGTACACACAGACACACAAGTACACACAGACACACAGGTACACACAGACACACAGGTACACACACAGGTACACACACAGACACACACAGGTACACACAGACACACACACACACACACAGACACACACACACAGACACACAGACACACACACAGGTACACACAGACACACACAGACACACACACAAACACAGGTACACACAGGTACACACAGACACACAGGTACACACAGACACACAGGTACACACACAGGTACACACACAGGTACACACACAGGTACACACACAGACACACATACACAGACACACACACACAGGTACACACACACACAGACACACACACACAGGTACACACACAGACACACACAGACACACACAGGTACACACACAGACACACACACAGACACACACACACACAGACACACACACAGACACACACACAGGTACACACAGACACACACACAGACACACACACACAGACACACACACAGACACACACACACACAGGTACACACAGAGACACACACAGACACACACACAGACACACACACAGACACACACACACACAGGTACACACACAGACACACACACACAGACACACACAGGTACACACAGACACACACACACAGACACACACACACAGACACACACAGACACACACACAGGTACACACACACACACACAGACACACACACACAGACACACACACAGGTACACACACACACAGACACACACACAGACACACACACAGGTACACACAGACACACCAAGCCGCGTGTCACATCACCTTGCTGTCGTCCATGCTTCAGAAACGCAGTGGGGTGCTGAGGGCGGTGCTGGTGGCGGAGTGGTTCCGGAGGGTTCGTTCCGTCCTCGCCAACCCAGTCTACGGAGGCTCGCGAAGGCTCGCGGAGGAGGAAGAGGAGGAAGAGGTGGAAGAGGTGGTGGGTGCCACGAAGACCGACGAACGACGTTGAGTTAGCTATAGCGGAGCGAGGCGAGGGAGACCCAAGCAGACACCGCTCTCCGTCTACCCCCTCACGGGCCCTCCCGACTTCTTCTCGCTTCTACGTGGAGCTGCTATGGCAATCAGCGGCTGTGCGAGGTGAGGAAGGTGGATCAGAGACAGAGCCACCACCACCACCACTTGGCTCAGCTCGTGTTGTCTGTGTGTGTGTGGGGGGGAGGGTCGCTGCCCCTCTCGCTCCAGACTGTTCTAGCTCCTCCCACTCACGGGCAGATCCACAACAACACCGTCACGTGACACGCGCGCGCGCGCGCGCACCCCCACTACGTCACCGCGGAGGAGAACTTGAACTCGAATAACCCCGCCCACCACCACAACACACACACACATATACTCTTAAATTTCGTTTTAAAGCTTTCGTGACTGCAGGTAATTCATGTCCTTGGTCCTTCTCGGTAAAGTCACGTAGAAGGGAAATAATAAAGTAAAATATCATTTCCCTATTATTATTTTTAATAAAATAAAAATATTATTTACCTTCTAAACGTGGTGACTTTACCGAAAGAACCAAGAATATGAATCGCTGCAGTCACGAAAAGCTTTAAAACGAATATCCTCCCCTTAAACTCAAACCGCATCGGGTTGAGATTTAAATAACCACGCCCCCAAACTAACCCCCCCCCTTCCAGTTCAATGTCACGGCCGGGCTTGGTAATTTAAATAAACACGCCCACGCCCCTCCCCACTTCGCCCCCACCCTCAAGTACAACGTCAATGCCAGGCTTGAGATTTAAATAACCCCGCCCACCACCACTCACCCATGGCTTGAGATTTAAATAACCCCGCCCACCACCACCACTCACCCAGGGCTTGAGATTTAAATAACCCCGCCCACAAACTCCAGTGAAGTGACGTCACGCTGTTGTGTTGTGTTTTTTTATCGAATAAAAACTTGAGTTGCCCCGCCCCCTACCCCCTCCCTTCAACAAATTCCGCGTCACGTGGTCTCCCAACTGGGTTAGGAGGCGTCGAACGAATGTTCTAGGGCTCCTTGCTGTCACGTGGTGGGGGTGAGGGGGGGGTGGCGTTGCTATGGCGATTTTGTTGGGGCGAGGAGGGGGCGGGGGCGCTGGTTGCCATGGCGATGTCGGAGCCACGTGCTCGAGCCGCGCACGTGTGTTGACGTTTTGGTAGTGACGTCACGCGGGGTTGTCTCTCTCTGTGTGTGCGCGCGCTGCGAGTTTAAACTTTAGAGTGTTTTTTATTTGCCTTCAGCCCTTTACGTCAAGACTCTCGTCCCTCGAGAGCTTTACATTTAAAAGTTGAAATACATTTTTTTGCACTTATAATTGTAAAAAAAATAAAAACAATGACTCAATACCGTGAAAAATGCGGCAATGATGTAATACATGTTTTTAGGAAGTTATATTCTTTTGAAGTTATAAATTCGTTCAGATTCCCCCCCCCCTCAATTCCCAATCGGCGTTTTATCCAGGACTGATAGAGTTCCGTTGTGTATACGTGCTGGGATTTTTTTTTCTTCCTGGGTGCCAGGCTAGGTGCACATTGAGTCTCGCTGGCTGGCAGGGTCACGGGGACAGACACCGGGTGCCGTGGTTCGACTGCCTGCCTGAGATGTTCACGGAAGTCATCAACCTCTGCTCATACTCACAATGTTTTTTTTTAAGACTGCGGGATAAATCCGATGAGCTGTAAAGCTCTTTTAATCACAGATGTGCAGCACGTTACAACAACAACAACGACAGGAGGGACAGACGATCGGAGTGAAGAGTGAACGGAACGTCATGCAAAGACAACACTGAACCATTCCCATCCTACCAGAGCCCAACTGAGGTATTAGGGGCCGTCCATAAATGACGTCACCTAGGGGGAGGTGGGGGGGGTCAGACATTTGTGACGATGTGTGACGAGGGGGGGAGGGCTTGAGAAATGTGACGTCACATCAAATTGTGCAACTTTAAATAAATACAGGCAACACGTTCTACTTAATTAAATAGACGTTTTAATAAATGTTTTCTCCTGCAACATCAGAGTGCAGCGCCACATTAAATACGCACTACAATGACAACAATAGTTTAAGGCGATTTGAAGCATGTTTTATAATTTTTCGGGGGGGGGGGGCGGAGCTTTGTGACGTCATAATCGAGAGGAGGGGGCTGAATCTTTGTGACGAGGGGGGGGGTTCAAAAATCGTCCAAACTCGGGTGACGTCATTTATGGACGGCCCTTTAACGCATTTTTCAGAAGCGGAATCATGACAGCGCAGCACTGCCAGTCATCCCAGTGCCAAGACCTCCTGAAAACGGTCAAGGGACTCGGGAATGGTCAAAGCATGGGAAACGGGGGCGTCCATAAATGACGTCACGCGATTTTGGACGATTTATGCCCCCCCCCCCATTGTCACAAAAAGTCAGACCCCTCCCCCTTAAATATGACGTCACCATCATCACCACCACCACCACCATCATCATCACCATCATCACCACCACCACCATCATCACCACCATCATCACCACCACCATCATCACCACCACCATCATCACCACCATCATCATCATCACCACCACCATCATCATCATCACCACCATCATCACCACCACCATCATCACCACCATCATCATCACCACCATCATCACCATCATCACCATCACAACCATCATCACACCACCATCATCATCACCACCATCATCATCACCACCACCACCATCATCATCACCACCACCACCATCATCATCACCACCACCACCACCACCATCATCACCACCATCATCATCACCACCACCACCATCATCACCATCACAACCATCATCACCACCACCATCACCACCATCATCACCATCACAACCATCAGCACCACCACCATCATCATCACCATCACCACCACCATCATCATCATCACCACCAACATCATCACCACCATCATCACCACCACCATCACCATCACAACCATCATCACCACCACCATCATCACCACCACCATCATCACCACCACCATCATCACCACCACCATCACCACCATCATCACCATCACAACCATCATCACCACCACCATCATCACCACCACCATCACCACCACCATCACCACCACCACCATCATCACCACCACCACCATCATCATCATCTTCCCCTGCGGCTACTCATGTAGCGGATGCAGAGGCAACGGTAGCAACGCTACGAAGTGTGATTACCATCATCGCCATCATCACGTGGAAATCTACGGCAGCAGCAGCAGCCAAAAACTTCAAACGCGTGGATGTTTATTCTCAACGTGGAAGGGAAAACGCGGAGAAAAATCCACGCGACCACGGGGAGAGAGACAGAGACTCGGACTCCAAATATACAGCAGCTGCAGCATGCATCAGGGTCGGGATCTAACCCACGACCTCCTGTACACCAGGCGAGGTAGTTAACATCTCATAGCCACCGTGATGATGAGAGAGAGAGACGCAGACTCCACATATACAGCAGGAGACATCGTCATGGTCGGGATCGAACGCACGAGCTCCTGTATACCAGGAGAGGTAGTTAACATCTCCTAGCTAACAGAGGAAGGAGTTGCTGACCACTTCTTCATCATGCCAGGGGTGGCGAGACGATGTTTGTGAATGCGTCAATAAACGTCTCTCGTCCTGTAAAACGCATTGGCACGGTGCAGAAATCTTTCCCAAGCGGTGGATATTAACAAAGGGTATAACAAAGGGTATTGTAGTTACCTTAGCAGCTTAGCTGGTCAATACTGTGCCGTCTTTGCTGCGTTTTATCCGCCCGGCGCTCCGTTCGTTGTTGTGAGCATCGCTCCTCTCCGCCCTCCGCTGTTGATGCTGAAGGGCGACTCCCCCCCACCAACCCACCACCCCCCCACCAACCCACCACCCCCCCACCAACCCACCACCCCCCCACCAACCCACCACCCCCCACCAACCCACCACCACCCTTCTCACCCCCCCCACCCTTCTCCCCCCCACCCTTCTCCCCCCCACCCCCACCCTTCTCCCCCCCCCACCCTTCTCACCCCCACCCGCCCTTCTCTCACCCCCACCCTTCTCCCCCCCAACCCCGCCCTTCCCCCCCACCCTCCCCACCCGCCCTTCCCTCCCCGCCCCTCCCCCCCGCCCCCGCCCCATCCCCCCCCCCGCCCCTCCCCCCCCGCCCCATCCCCCCCCCCGCCCCATCCCCCCCCCCGCCCCCCCCCGCCCGCCCCTCCCCCGCCCCCGGTAGTGATGTCGAACTCCTTTAAACATCACCACCGGTAGCAGCAGCAGCAAGGCGACATCGCCAGTTTCCTGGCGACAATGAGGAAGTCACCAGCAACATCCTAAACAACATCAACAGCATCATCAACAACAACAACATCAACAACAACAGCAAAAACAGCATCAACAACATCAACAAGACCCCCGCTGTGATGGTGAGCTGCGATTAAAGTGGTCTACGTCTCGTCACACACTCACCACTAGTACACTCACCACTAGCACACTCACCACTAGTACACTCACCACTAGTACACTCACCACTACACTCACCACTAGCACACTCACCACTAGTACACTCACCACTAGCACACTCACCACTAACACACTCACCACTAGCACACTCACCACTAGTACACTCACCACTAGTACACTCACCACTACACTCACCACTAGTACACTCACCACTACACTCACCACTAGTACACTCACCACTAGCACACTCACCACTAGTACACTCACCACTAGCACACTCACCACTACACTCACCACTAGTACACTCACCACTAGTACACTCACCACTACACTCACCACTAGTACACTCACCACTACACTCACCACTAGTACACTCACCACTACACTCACCACTAGTACACTCACCACTACACTCACCACTACACTCACCACTAGTACACTCACCACTAGTACACTCACCACTAGAACACTCACCACCACTACACTCACCACTAGTACACTCACCACTAGTACACTCACCACTAGAACACTCACCACCACTACACTCACCACTAGTACACTCACCACTAGTACACTCAACACTAGCACACTCACCACTAGTACACTCACCACTAGTACACTCACTACTACACTCACCACTAGCACACTGACCACTACACTCACCACTAGTACACTCACTCACTAGTACACTCACCACTAGTACACTCACCACTAGAACACTCACCACTAGTACACTCACCACTAGTACACTCACCACTAGAACACTCACTATTACACTCACCACTAGTACACTCACCACTAGTACACTCACCATTACACTCACCACTAGCGCACTCACCACTACACTCACCACTAGTACACTCACCACTAGTACACTCACCACTAGTACATTCACCACTACACTCACCACTAGTACACTCACCACTAGTACACTCACCACTACACTCACCACTACTACACTCACCACTACTACACTCACCACTACTACACTCACCACTACACTCACCACTAGTACACACACCACTAGTACACTCAACACTAGTACACTCACCACTACACTCACCACTAGTACACTCACCACTACACTCACCACTAGTACACTCACCACTAGTACACTCACCACTACACTCACCACTAGTACACTAACCACTAGTACACTCACCACTACACTCACCACTAGTACACTCACCACTACTACACTCACCACTACACTCACCACTAGCACACTCACCACTAGTACACTCACCACTAGCACACTCACCACTAGTACACTCACCACTATACTCACCACTAGTACACTCAAAACTACACTCACCACTAGTACACTCACCACTACACTCACCACTAGTACACTCACCACTATACTCACCACTACACTCACCACTAGCACACTCACCACTAGTACACTCACCACTAGTACACTCACCACTACACACACCACTAGTACACTCACCACTACACTCACCATTAGTGCACTCACCACTACACTCACCACTAGTACACTCACCACTACACACACCACTAGAACACTCACCACTACACTCACCGCTAGTACACTCACCACTACACTCACCACTAGTACACTCACCACTAGTACACTCACCACTACACTCACCACTAGTACACTCACCACTACTACACTCACCACTACACTCACCACTAGTACACTCATCACTCCACTCACCACTACACTCATCACTAGTACACTCACCACTACACTCACCACTAGTACACTCACCACTAGTACACTCACCACTAGAACACTCACCACTAGTACACTCACCACTAGTACACTCACCACTAGAACACTCATTATTACACTCACCACTAGTACACTCACCACTAGTACACTCACCACTAGTACATTCACCACTACACTCACCACTAGTACACTCACCACTAGTACACTCACCACTAGAACACTCACCACTAGTACACTCACCACTAGTACACTCACCACTAGAACACTCATTATTACACTCACCACTAGTACACTCACCACTAGTACACTCACCACTAGTACACTCACCATTACACTCACCACTAGCGCACTCACCACTACACTCACCACTAGTACACTCACCACGAGCACACTCACCACTAGTACACTCACCACTACTACACTCACCACTAGTACACTCACTACTACACTCACCACTACTACACTCACCACTACACTCACCACTACTACACTCACCACTACACTCACCACTAGTACACACACCACTAGTACACTCAACACTAGTACACTCACCACTACACTCACCACTAGTACACTCACCACTAGTACACTCACCACTAGTACACTCACCACTACACTCACCACTAGTACACTCACCACTAGTACACTCACCACTACACTCACCACTAGTACACTCACCACTAGTACACTCACCACTACACTCACCACTAGTACACTCACCACTACACTCACCACTAGTACACTCACCACTACTACACTCACCACTACACTCACCACTAGCACACTCACCACTAGTACACTCACCACTAGCACACTCACCACTAGTACACTCACCACTAGTACACTCACCACTATACTCACCACTACACTCACCACTAGTACACTCAAAACTACACTCACCACTACTACACTCACCACTACACTCACCACTAGTACACTCACCACTATACTCACCACTACACTCACCACTAGCACACTCACCACTAGTACACTCACCACTAGTACACTCACCACTACACACACCACTAGTACACTCACCACTACACTCACCATTAGTGCACTCACCACTACACTCACCACTAGTACACTCACCACTACACACACCACTAGAATACTCACCACTACACTCACCGCTAGTACACTCACCACTACACTCACCACTAGTACACTCACCACTAGTACACTCACCACTACACTCACCACTCGTACACTCACCACTACACTCACCACTAGTACACTCACCACTAGTGCAGTCACCACTAGCACACTCACCACTAGTACACTCACCACTACACACACCACTGCACTCACCACTAGTACACTCACCACTAGTACACTCACCACTACACTCACCACTACACTCACCACTGCACTCACCACTAGTACACTCACCACTAGTACACTCACCACTACTACACTCACCACTACACTCACCACTAGTACACTCATCACTCCACTCACCACTACACTCATCACTAGTACACTCACCACTAGTACACTCACCACTACACTCACCACTCGTACACTCACCACTACACTCACCACTAGTACACTCACCATTAGTACACTCACCACTAGTGCAGTCACCACTAGCACACCCACCACTACACTCACCACTACACTCACCACTGCACTCACCACTAGTACACTAACCACTAGTACACTCACCACTAGTACACTCACCACTACACACACCACTAGTTTACTCACCACTAGTACACTCCCCACTGGTACATTCACCACTACACTCACCACTAGTACACTCACCACTACACTCACAACTAGTACACTCACCACGAGCACACTCACCACTAGTACACTCACCACTACACACACCACTAGTACACTCACCACTAGTACACTCACCACTACACACCCCACGAGTACACTCACCACTAGCACACTCACCACTACTACACTCACCACTAGTACACTCACCATTACACACACCACTAGTACACTCACCAAGAGTACACTCACCACTACACTCACCACTACTACACTCACCACTACTACACCCACCACTAGTACACCCACCACTACATTCACCACTAGTACACTCACCACTAGTACACTCACCACTACTACACTCACCACTAGTACACTCACCACTAGTACACTCACCACTACACTCACCACTAGTACACTCACCACTACACTCACCACTAGTACACTCACCACTACACTCATCACTAGTACACTCACCACTAGTACACTCACCATTACACTCACCACCAGTACACTCACCACTTCACTCACCACTACACTCACCACTAGTACACTCACCCCTAGTACACTAACCACAACACTCACCACAACACTCACCACTAGTACACTCACCATTACACTCGCCACCAGTACACTCACCACTACACTCACCACTAGTACACTCACCCATAGTACACTCACCACAACACTCATCACTAGTACACTCACCACTAGTACACTCACCACTAGCACACTCACCACTACACTCACCACTAGCACACTCATCACTAGCACACTCACCACTAGTATACTCAACACTAGTACACTCACCACTACACTCACCACTAGTACATTCACCACTAGTACACTCACCACTACACTCAACACTAGTACACTCACCACTAGTACACTCACCACTACTACACTCACCACTAGTACACTCACCACTACTACACTCGCCACTACACTCACCACTAGTACACCCACCACTAGCACACTCACCACTACACTCACCACTAGTACACTCACCACTAGTACACTCACCACTAGCACACTCACCACTACACTCACCACTAGTACACTCATCACTACACTCACCACTACACTCACCACTACTACACTTACCACTAGTACACTCACCACTACACTCACCACTAGTACACTCATCACTACACTCACCGCTAGTACACTCACCACTACACTCACCACTACACTCACCACTAGCACACTCACCACTACACTCACCACTCGTACACTCAACACTAGTACACTCACCACTAGTACACTCATCACTAGTACACTCCCCACTAGTACACTCACCATTACACTCACCACCAGTACACTCACCACTACACTCACCACTACACTCACCACTTGCACACTCACCACTAGTACACACCACTACACTGACCACTGTACACTCATCACTACTACACTCACCACTACATTCACCACTACTACACTCACCGCTACATTCACCACTAGTACACTCACCACTAAACTGTGAGTCTATAGGTCTCTATGTGAGTCTATAGGTCTCTATGTGAGTCTGTAGGTATCTATGTGAGTCTATGGGTATATATGTGAGTCTATAGGTCTATATGTGAGTCTATAGGTCTCTATGTGACTATGTAGGTCTCTGTGTGAGTCTGTAGGTCTCTACGTGAGTCTATAGGTCTCTATGTGAGTCTGTAGGTCTCTGTGAGTCTGTAGGTCTCTGTGAGTCTATAGGTCTCTATGTGAGTCTGTAGGTCTCTATGTGAGTCTATAGGTCTCTACGTGAGTCTATAGGTCTCTACGTGAGTCTGTGGGTCTCTGTGAGTCTGTAGGTCTCTGTGAGTCTATAGGTCTCTATGTGAGTCTGTAGGTCTCTATGTGAGTCTACAGGTCTCTGTGAGTCTCTAGGTCTCTATGTGAGTCTGTAGGTCTCTTCGTGAGTCTGTAGTTCTCTATGTGAGTCTATAGCTCTCTGTGAGTCTGTAGGTCTCTATGTGAGTCTGTAGGTCTCTGTGAGTCTATAGGTCTCTATGTGAGTATATAGGTCTCTATGTGAGTCTATTGGTCTCTATGTGAGTCTGTAGGTCTCTGTCAGTCTATAGGTCTCTATGTGAGTATATAGGTCTCTATGTGAGTCTATTGGTCTCTATGTGAGTCTGTAGGTCTCTGTCAGTCTGTAGGTCTCTATGTGAGTCTGTAGGTCTCTGTGAGTCTGTATGTCTCTATGTGAGTCTGTAGGTCTCTATGTGAGTCTGTAGGTCTCTGTGAGTCTGTATGTCTCTATGTGAGTCTGTAGGTCTCTATGTGAGTCTGTAGGTCTCTGTGAGTCTATAGGTCTCTATGTAAGTCTGTGGGTCTCTATGTGAGTCTATGGGTCTTTATGTGAGTCTATAGGTCTCTATGTGAGTCTGTAGGTCTCTATGTGAGTCTGTGGGTCTCTATGTGAGTCTGTAGGTCTCTATGTGAGTCTATAGGTCTCTATGTGAGTCTGTGGGTCTCTATGTGAGTCTATAGGTCTCTATGTGAGTCTGTAGGTCTCTATGTGAGTCTATAGGTCTCTATGTGAGGCTGTGGGTCTCTATGTGAGTCTATAGGTCTCTACGTGAGTATGTTGGTCTCTATGTGAGTCTATAGGTCCCTATGTGAGTCTATGGGTCTCTGTGAGTCTGTAGGTCTCTATGTGAGTCTGTAGGTCTCTATGTGAGTCTGTAGGTCTCTATGTGAGTCTGTAGGTCTCTATGAGTCTGTAGGTCTCTATGTGAGTCTGTAGGTCTCTATGTGAGTCTGTAGGTCTCTATGTGAGTCTATGGGTCTCTACGTGAGTCTCTAGGTCTCTACGTGAGTCTATAGGTCTCTACGTGAGTCTGTAGGTCTCTACGTGAGTCTGTAGGTCTCTACGTGAGTCTGTAGATCTCTATGTGAGTCTATCGGTCTCTATGTGAGTCTTTAGGTCTCTATGTGAGTCTATAGGTCTCTATGTGAGTCTATAGGTCTCTATCTGAGTCTATTGGTCTCTATGTGAGTCTGTAGGTTTCTATGTGAGTCTATGGGTCTCTACGTGAGTCTGTAGGTCTCTACGTGAGTCTATAGGTCTCTACGTGAGTCTATAGGTCTCTACGTGAGTCTGTGGGTCTCTGTGAGTCTGTAGGTCTCTATGTGAGTCTTTAGGTCTCTATGTGAGTCTATAGTTCTCATGTGAGTCTATAGGTCTCTTTGTGAGTCTATTGGTCTCTATGTGAGTCTATAGGTCTCTATGTGAGTCTATAGGTCTCTACGTGAGTCTGTAGGTCTCTATGTGAGTCTATGGGTCTCTGTGAGTCTGTAGGTCTCTGTGAGTCTATAGGTCTCTACGTGAGTCTGTAGGTCTATACGTGAGTCTCTAGGTCTCTCTGTGAGTCTATAGGTCTCTATGTGAGTCTATGGGTCTCTATGTGAGTCTGTAGGTCTCTACGTGAGTCTGTAGGTCTCTATGTGAGTCTGTAGGTCTCTATGTGAGTCTGTAGGTCTCTACGTGAGTCTGTAGGTCTCTATGTGAGTCTATGGGTCTCTATGTGAGTCTGTAGGTCTCTACGTGAGTCTGTAGGTCTCTGTGAGTCTGTAGGTCTCTACGTGAGTCTGTAGGTCTCTACGTGAGTCTATCGGTCTCTACGTGAGTCTGTAGGTCTCTACGTGAGTCTATAGGTCTCTACGTGAGTCTATAGGTCTCAATGTGAGTCTGTAGGTCTCTATGTGAGTCTGTAGGTCTCTACGTAAGTCTGTAGACCTCTACGTGTGTCTGTAGGTCTCTACGTGAGTCTATAGGTCTCTACGTGAGTCTGTAGGTCTCTATTTGAGTCTCTAGTTCTCTACGTGAGTCTCTAGGTCTCTATGTGAGTCTGTAGGTCTCTATGTGAGTCTGTAGGTCTCTATTTGAGTCTGTAGGTCTCTATGTTAGTCTGTAGGTCTCTATGTGCGTCTGTAGGTCTCTACGTGAGTCTGTAGGTCTCTGTGAGTCTGTAGGTCTCTACGTAAGTCTGTAGGTGTCTATGTCAGTCTGTAGGGATCTATGTGAGTCTGTAGGTCTCTATATGAGTCTGTAGGTCTCTATGTGAGTCTTTAGGTCTCTACGTGAGTCTGTAGGTCTCTATGTGAGTCTTTAGGTCTCTACGTGAGTCTGTAGGTCTCTATGTGAGTCTGTAGGTCTCTATATGAGTCTGTAGGTCTCTATGTGAGTCTTTAGGTCTCTACGTGAGTCTGTAGGTCTCTACGTGAGTCTGTCGGTCTCTATGTGAGTCTGTATGTCTCTATGTGAGTCTCTATGTCTCCGATTCTTCACGTGAGTCATCGGTGACCTTGCGGAGACCATTCGACTCGCCGCGCTCGAGGTTCCGCTTGAACCGCCAAGTTGGACAGCCGGCAACGTGGACGACAACGAGCCCCAGGGTCTCACCGCCTCGCCCTCGCTCCCCCACAACTGTCGCCCCCCTCCTCTCCCGCCTTGCAGGGCGGCATCTCGGGCGCCCTGTGGCGGTCGGACGAGGGGCGAGGTCCGGACGACGAGGACGTCACGGTCGATGCGCTGAGTTGGAACCCGTCCGCGGCCTACCGGGTGCATCACGGTGCGGACGGAGCAAGGGGCCGCTCCTGCCTGCGCGTGTACGGTTTGGCGCGGTCAAATGCCGTGCGTAGTGGCGTGGTGGTGTGGTGTATAGTGTAATGTAATGTAGTGTATAGTGTAGTGTAATGTGTAGTGAATCGTGTAATGTAATGTGTAGTGTGTAGTGTATAGTGTATAGTGTCATGTAGTGTTTAGTGTAGTGTAATGTGTAGTGTATAGTTGTGTAGTGTATAGTGTCATGTAGTGTATAGTGTAGTGTAATGTAGTGTAGTGTAATGTAGTGTAGTGTATAGTCGTGTAGTGTATAGTGGTGTAGTGTATAGTTTAGTATATAATGTAATGTATAGTGTACTAGTGTAGTGTATAATGTAGTGTAGCATACAGTGGAGTGTAGTGTATTATCGTGTAGTGTATAGTGTAGTGGTGTAGTGTATAATCGTGTAGTGTATGGTGTAGTGTATAGTGTAGTGTATAGTGTAGTGTATAGTGTAGTGGTGTAGTGTATAGTGTAGTGTATAGTGTAGTGGTGTAGTGTATAGTGTAGTGTATAGTGTAGTTGTGTAGTGTATAGTGTAGTGTATAGTGTAGTGGTGTAGTGTATAATCATGTAGTGTATAGTGTAGTGTATAGTGTAGTGGTGTAGTGTATAATCGTGTAGTGTATAGTGTAGTGTATAGTGTAGTTTATAGTGCAGTGTATAGTGTAGTCTATAGTGTAGTGTATAGTGTCGTGTATAGTGTAGTGTATAGTGTAGTGTGTAGTGGTGTAGTGTATAATGTAGTGTATAGTGTCGTGTATAGTGTAGTGTGTAGTGGTGTAGTGTATAATGTAGTGTATAGTGTAGTGTATAGTGTAGTGTATAATGTATATACAGCATCTGAAAGCGCGCGATGGCGGTGACCGTCTTAGTTCGATGGCTGAGCCTAAAGCCACAGCCGCCGCGGCCGCCGCTTACTGCTGCTGCAAGGATGACGACCGGAGGATTTGCGCGTGACGATGGTTTAAGGCTCCTTGCTGACGAGATGAGCAGCGAGGTGTCGCACGGCTCACTCGTGGCCAAGCCACTTTTGTGCGCCCGTAGTGAGTGGCACCTTCGAAAATAAACACACAAAAAACCTGAAACGTCCCCGGCGTGCAACGTTGCTCACGCGCTGCTAAGCTCGTGAGACGCATCGTACGGGATGGTTTCGTTTTACATTGATACCCCGGAGATGGAAACTTAATTCGTTCCAGAAGGCCATTCGAACACCGATTTGTTCGAACACCGAATTTAATTTCCCGCATACGAATGAATGTAAATTACATCAATTGGTTCCAGACACAAGAAATCTCTCATTATAAAGCATTTTTACACGAAGTTTACAGTAATTACGTGCATAGAATCGTACAAAAAAACAAGAAACACAATAAATAAATGGAATAAATTCAATAAATATATGGAATACATGAAATGAATGAGCATTGAACTTCACTTTGCCTGTAGTAAGGAGAGTTGATGGCTTAAGTGGAAGGTGGTGAGGAGGTGGTAGGTGGTGGTGGTGGTGGTAGGTGGTGGTGGTAGAGTGAGGGAAAAAAGTATTTGATCCCCTGCTGATTGTGTACGTTTGCCCACTGACAAAGAAATGATCAGTCTATAATTTAATGGTAGGTTTATTTGAACAGTGAGAGACAGAATAACAACAACAAAATCCGGAAAAACGCATGTCAAAAATGTTTTAAATTGATTTGCATTGTAATGAGGGAAATAAGTATTTGACCCCCTCTTAATCAGAAAGATTACTGGCTCCCAGGTGTCTTTTATACAGGTAACGAGCTGAGACTAGGAGCACACTATTAAAAGGAGTGCTCCTAATCTCAGCTTGTTACCTGTATCAAAGACACCTGTCCACAGAAGCAATCAATCAATCAGATTCCTAACTCTCCACCATGGCCAAGACCAAAGAGCTCTCCAAGGATGTCAGGGACAAGATTGTAGACCTACACAAGGCTGGAATGGGCTACAAGACCATTTCCAAGCAGCTTGGCGAGAAGGTGACAACAGTTGGTGCGATTATTCGCAAATGGAAGTAACACAAAAGAACTGTGAAACTCCCTTAGCCTGGGGCTCCATGCAAGATCTCACCTCGTTGAGTTGCAATGATCATGAGAACGGTGAGTAATAAGCCCAGAACTACACGGGAGGATCTTGTCAATGATCTCAAGGCAGCTGGGACCATAGTCACCAAGAAAACAATTGGTAACACACTACGCCGTGAAGGACTGAAATCCTGCAGCGCCCGCAAGGTCCCCCTGCTCAAGCAAGCACATATATACATGCCCGTCTGAAGTTTGCCAATGAACATCTGAATGATTCAGAGGAGAACTGGGTGAAAGTGTTGTGGTCAGATGAGACCAAAATGGAGCTCTTTGGCATCAACTCAACTCGCCGTGTTTGAAGGAAGTGGAATGCTGCCAATGACCCCAAGAACACCATCCCCACTGTCAAACATGGAGGTGGAAACATTATGTTTTGGGGGTGTTTTTCTGCTAAGGGGACAGGACAACTTCACCGCACCAAAGGGACGATGGACGGGGCCATGTACCGTCAAATTTTGGGTGAGAACCTCCCCTCAGCCAGGGCATTGAAAATGGGTCGTGGATGGGTATTCCAACATGACAATGACTCAAAACACACGGCCAAGGCAACAAAGGAGTGGCTCAAGAAGAAGCACATTAAGGTCCTGGAGTGGCCTAGCCAGTCTCCAGACCTTAATCCTAAAGAAAATCTGTGGAGGGAGCTGAAGGTTCGAGTTGCCAAACGTCAGCCTCGAAAGCTTAATGACTTGGAGAAGATCTGCAAAGAGGAGTGGGACAAAATCCCGCCTGAGATGTGTGCAAACCTGGTGGCCAACTACAAGAAACGTCTGACCTCTGTGATTGCCAACAAGGGTTTTGCCACCAAGTACTAAGTCATGTTATTATTTCCCTCATTAAAATGCAAATCAATTTATAACATTCTTGACATGCGATTTTCTGGATTTTGTTGTTGTTATTCTGTCTCTCACTGTTCAAATAAACATGCCATTAAAATTATAGACTGATCATTTATTTGTCAGTGGGCAAACGTACAAAATCAGCAGGGGATCAAATACTTTTTTGCCCTCACTGTAGGTGGTGGTGGTGGTAGGTGGTGGTGGTGTTATTGTTTGGAAGGGGAGTCCCCTTGGGCAAGCGTCATGCACGCTGCTGGCCATACGTGTCTCAGCCGTGTACAGGTTCTGTTTAACACGTAGGCTTTCGCGACCAATATTATTCATAATGAAGGTTTTTGGGTTAGATCGCGTTATTTATAAATGTGTCGTAACCCTCCACCACCCGACACGGCCAATCAGCAACCAACAACTCGGCCGTGGCAGATCATTGTTATAATTCAGTAGGCTCACATGACATTGACTTCTCCAAGACAGAGGTTCTCTGCAAGCCATCTGGCTACCATGAGAGATTCGTTCATGAGGCTATCCACATACACAAGCACAGAGACAATTTCAACCGAGAAGATGGATTCTGGCTTAGCAATCATTGGAAGGATTTGATAAACCATTTCAGCTCTTAATTGATTGTTCACGCTTACGGTGGCTTTCAGACGGCATACATTAATTTTTTGTCTCCCCCCTCCTCTTTTCAGAACATAGATGGACTAGTACTTCTAAACACACTGTCAAATCGCTGCGCGTGGCGCTGACGTGTTTTTTTTTTTAAATAAATAAATGCCGCCGTTTTAAAATAAATACATTTATGCAAACCGACACACCTGATGACGACCGTTTGTGTTATGGTCGAAACGTCGTGAGAATTTTTATTGTTTTATATATATTTTATTATTTTATTGTTTCCCTTCAACGTGACTTTACCGAAAGAGCTAAGAATATGAAAAAGACAATTAATTCACTACTTTAGCCCACCGGTGTGTTGAAGAGTGAATCCACAATATTTACAGTTTGAGTACGGCGTTTGGCTGGTAATTACATCCAGCATCATCGGGCAATTCGCCAGAATGCTGGATGTAATTACCAGCGTTCTGGCAATTTACCATTCTGGCGAATTGCCCGATGATGCTGGATGTAATTACCAGCGAAACGTCGTACTCAAACTGTAAATGTGGATTCACTCTTCAACACACCGGTGGGCTAAAGTAGTGAACTAATTGTCTTTTGTCAACGTGACACTTTTTTGCTGATTGGCCGTGTCGGGTGGTGAAGGGTTACGACACATTTATAAATAAACGCGATCTAACCCAAAAACCTTTATTATGAGTGTACAGGTTCTTTCAAGTCGCGATTGCCCGTTCGACCTCCGTATTTCGCTCGGTTTCCGGGGCAAGGAATGTTCGGAGATATCGTTAGAACACCGATTTGTTCAAGTTCTGGTGCGTTCGATCACCGAGGTTCTACTATAATTGTATTACGCGCTTGGGGTGATTCGTTTAGCTCTCTCGTGCTGTGAGCTCCTGTCGTGTAACTGCTTCGCTTGCTGTTTCTAGCCATCTTCACTCATCGACTAAGTCTGGATCTCTTCCGTCGCTCGTTCCGTTCTCCTTGAGCGCCTGCAAAGCCATGTCGGCCGCTCGGGTGCCTTTCTAAGTTGCGTTTCTTCTTACCTCTCCGATCCTCTACGTACGCCTCCTCTACTTAGGAACATTCGACTTACGAACGTTCAGGGATACGAACAAACGCGTGTCCGGTCGCCTGTCCGGACCGAGAGTTTGCGGCGCCTCTCTCTCCCTGTGGTCGCGCGGATTTTACTCCGGGTCCTCCCGGGTTTTTCCACCGCCAGGTTTAGAATCGGCTTCGCCACGCCTTCACGAGTTATTGTGGCCGCTCGCTGTACATTTCCACACGGCGCACGCACGCGCGTACGTACGGTGAACTTGTTTCGCGCCGCACGTCGCCAACCGTGCCCATCGGAGGTGTGGGATGAGCCGGTTTACTTCTGAGAAAGAGCTGTATAGCTCGGTGGGGGGGGGGGGGGGGGGGGGGGCCTTACCCTGGTAAAAACAAACAAGCAAGCGTGTCCTTGTCCGTCCAGTGATGTCTTCCCAGAAGTTGTTCGGCTGCTTGCTTTGCACGCGGCGGCGGCGGCGACGAAAAGCGACCACCTCGTTGAGCTGTTGTCATTCGTGGGGGGCCGCTTCTGCAAAAGGAGCCGCGTAGTCGCTCTGTTGGGGGGGGGGCCCTTCTTACCTGGTAGTAGATAAGTAATATTTAAAAATACTTTGTTAAAAACACGCTTCCGTGAAATGTGCCGTGCTAGTAATGTCAGAACTCCACGACTCCAGGAAGTGGGCCCCGAAGCTCGCCACAACGTAAGGGGACCGTGGGCCAATTACAGCCAACGTCAGTTGAGCGTGGACAATTAGACCCAAGCAGAAACATAACATATACGAAATAATGTTTAAAAATATAGATTTTTTTAATGTTTTTATGATAGAATGTAGTATTGTCATCAGTATGACATAAGTATACCAAGTTTTCAGCCGATACCACATTGGGAAGCGGGTTAAAATTGTGTTACAAGATTTGAGGATGCAACAACAACAACAGCAGACAGAGTGAGTTCATCAAAAGCGTGTAAAAATAGTTTCTAGCATCGTTTGTGATCTCCGACCGCGCGGAAGCTCCTCCCGCCTACCGTGCGCTCGTCTCTGCCCTCCGTTGGCCCCCAGGGTGGCGCCGACGCCGCACGCGACACCGAGGCCGGAGGGCCACACGCGCTTCGTGTGCGTGTCGGACACGCACTCGCTCACCGATTGCCTCCGGGTGCCACCGGGGGATGTCCTCCTGCACACCGGTGACTTCACCCGCATCGGGCTGCCCCTCGAGGTGTCCGCCTTCAACGACTGGCTCGGTGCGTGTCTGTACGCTTGTGCGCGTCTGTCTGTGTGTGTGTGGAGCTGTGTGTGGAGCTGTGTGTGTGTGGAGCTGTGTGTGTGTGGAGCTGTGTGTGTGTGGAGCTGTGTGTGTGTGGAGCTGTGTGTGTGTGGAGCTGTGTGTGTTGCGCGTGTGTGGAGCTGTGTGTGTTTGGAGCTGTGTGTGTGTGGAGCTGTGTGTGTGTGGAGCTGTGTGTGTGTGGAGCTATGTGTGTGTGGAGCTGTGTGTGTGTGGAGCTGTGTGTGTGTGGAGCTGTGTGTGTGTGGAGCTGTGTGTGTGTGGAGCTGTGTGTGTGTGGAGCTGTGTGTGTGTGGAGCTGTGTGTGTGTGGAGCTGTGTGTGTGTGGAGCTGTGTGTGTTGCGCGTGTGCACGTGGTGAGCGGTGGTGCAGCGGTCAGCGCTACGCTGCGCTACGAACCCGGCAACCCGGGTTCGATTGCCGCTCGCGGTCAACGCCGGCGACGATTATCTGAACCGGTCCCGGGCCTCCCCTAGGTCGACTCAGCCTCAAATGAGTACCTGGTGCGGTGTGTAGTAAATATCGCCACTGGGGAGACAAAGGCGGTCGGGCGTGGTGCTGGCCACCAACCCCCTCGTGTGCCGTGCCGGCCTTCATAGGTGCTCGCTAACAGCACTTGCCCCAACAGTCTGCTAAGGCTATACGGGGGATCTTTGTGTGTGTGTACGTGTGTGTGTACCTGTGTGTGTGTGTACCTGTGTGTACCTGTGTGTGTGTGTGTACCTGTGTGTCTGTGTGTGTGTGTGTGTATACGTGTGTGTACCTGTGTGTGTATGTGTACCTGTGTGTACCTGTGTGTACCCGTGTGTGTGTACTTGTGTGTATTTGTGTTTACGTGTGTGTACGTGCATTTAACCAGGCTGGATTGTGTGAGGAGCTCACAAATCCTTGAAAGATCTGGACAAAGTCCCATCGGTGAGCTCCTCCGGCAGGCGAGGCTGCGTTGGCTGGGTCATGTAGCCCGCATGCCCAGCCACCGCATGCCGAAACAGCTTTTGTCCGGCCGGATCGAGGGGGCTAAACGGGCGCGGTAGGGGCTAGAGAAGAGATGGAGTGATGTGGTACAGGAGGACGTGGAGCTGAGTGGACTTGCCGATGACTGGTACCAGCGGTGTCATGATCGGCCTCTGTGGTGGAGGCTCGTGAAGGATGCTCCTGGGCAGTTGGAGGCAGTCGCCCTCCAGCAACAATGGAGGGCGGAGGAGCGACGCTCAGAACAACGAGCGGAGCGCCGGGTGGCTAAAGCACAGCAGGTTGGCACAGTAGAAGGCACAGGCAGTGCATCAGCCAGTCATCTCAGTCAGTCGACCTGTGGCACCTGGGTCTGCCCCGTGACCTCCTGCGAGCGGGCGTTCGACACTTCACGTGGCCTCAAGGTGCACATGGCCTGGCACAAGTGTCGTGGTGATGTCTCCGCCACTTAATGGCGTATGGCGGTTGTTGTTGTTGTGTTTGGTCAGCAGTAGTGGCATAGCGGTTATCGCTACGCTGCGCTACAAACCCAGCGACCCCAGTTCAATTCCCGCTCACGGCCAACATCAGTGACGATTACCTTAATCGGTCTAGGGCCTCCCCTTGGTCGACTCAGTCTCAAATGAGTACCTGGTTTGGTGAGTAAAAACATCGCCACTGGGGAGACAAAAAGGCGGTCGGCCGTGGTGCTGGCCACCCACCCGCTATCGTTGTGCCGTTCCAGCCTTCATAGGTGCTACTCGCTAACAGCACTTGCCCCTACAGTCTGTTACAGGCTGTACGGGGGAACTTTGTATTTTGTGCCATTTCTAAAGTTGTCTACTCATTTTAATATTCTGGTTTTCATTTGCTTTGCAGCATTTGGCTCTCATACATAATGAATGTACGGCGTTGTGGGATGCAATTCGCATGACGTATGAAATTAAGTTATTAATACGTCACCGTAACCCTACACAGGGGTGTCACGGTGGCTAGGAGATGTTAACTACCTCGCCAGGTATACAGGAGGTCGTGGGCTCTATCCCGACTCCGATGCTTGCTGTATATTTGAAGTTTGCGTCTCTCTCTCCAGTTCCTCCTGTTTCTACGCTGTCTATTACGCGGTCAAACTCCAACGAAAACCTCTATTGTGGACTGAATCGTCTTGTTCATTAATTACTTTTGTGAACAAAAAACTCAACATAACGAATAAGGATCGGTGTTTTATCCTTCCTGGCACTTTTAAACAGGAGGTGTTTTAAGATGTTCAGACTCCAAATAGATTTAACCTTTTGCGAGGAATCAAGCAACTGCAATGACCACACACTGGTAAATTTTGATTTATATACACACACTGGTACTTGTGGTGAACACGCAAACATTCCATGCTCTGATAAGAATATGCATTGCTTTTGAAACTGTTTGAAACTGATTATAAGCCAATCAGTTTCCAGGACAATGCACATATATGATGTAATCAGAACTATGTTTGTTGGCTTGTTCACCACAAGTAGACGTGTGTGGTTAATGCAGTCGCGTGATTCCTCGCAAAAGGTGCTCATTTGGTGGGGCCTTTTTGCCAGTCTCAAAAAGGCTGTACGCCTTTCGGCGTCCTCTGATCTAACACCGCTTTGAGACGAGGCTCAAAAGAAAGCCGTCTCTGGTGTTGACCAATCAGTTTCAAAGACAATGCATCATATTATCAGAGGACGTTTTTTCTTTGCATTCTGACCACAAGCATTGTGGTTAATGTAGACACGATTCCTCGTAAAAGGTTTCAGTTTGGTGTTTTAACATCTTAACACAACTGTTGTATTGCCAGAAAGGGTCAAACCGATTCGTATTTTTCAAACGTTGATACTGGCAAAAAGTTATCCCACGATGTAGCTGCTCAACCCGAGCTATTAATGCTCTGATACATGTGGCATTGTCTTCGTGCTGTTCGCCTTTTAGGCTTCTATCTCTGGTGTAGGCCAAACAGTTTCAGAGACAAAGCGTACAACACTATCAACGCAGTGCTTTTCTAGATTTGAAGCTTTCGTGACTGCAAGGATCCATACTCTTTGGTTCTATTAGGTAAAGTCACGTAGGTAAAAAATAAAACAACAAAAATCACGACGTTTCGGCCACAACACAAGCGGCCTTCATCAGGTGAAGGGACCAGACTGTCTCGAGGACAGCGCTGGAGTGAACACAGCCATCAATCTGTAAACTCCCCCTCCCCCCCCTCGCCGGCCTGCACATGTTCACCCCCTCTACACCGTTCATCATGCTAAGTCCGCCAATTAAATGCTAATTTTTATGCTAATTCCTTTGTCAAGGCACCTTAATTCCTCTCACACAGCTTAAAGGTCGCGGTCTGAGCTTGGCTGTGTTCACTCCAGCGCTGTCCTCTAGACAGTCTGGTCCCTTCACCTAATGCAGTGCTTGCTTGCATGCTTCATCACAAGCATGATGATGTGTGGTTCATGCAGAATTGATGAGGCCTTGCAATCGGTGTGTCTATTTGGTGTTTGAACATCTTAACACCCACTCCTATTTTATTTCCAGACACGGTAAAGCCTGCTTTATAGGTTTTTTTTTCAACGACAATGCCCCAAGTATGATCAGAGCCATGTGTGTTTGCATGTTCACTGTGTGTGGTTAATGCAGTGCCTGGTGCCTTGCACAAGGTGTGCCTATTTAGTGTTTGAACATCTTAACACAACTCCTGTTTCAGTGCCAGAAAGGGTAAAATAAAGATATTCTTACTTTTCATTCTTTGATGCTGGCAAAACAAAAAAGGCATCCCGTGCTGAAAACAGAACAGACAAAGATCCCCCGTATAGCCTTAACAGACTGTAGGGGCAAGCGCTGTTAGCGAGCACCTATGAAGGCCGGAACGGCACACGAGGGGGTGGGTGGCCAGCACCACGCCCGACCGCCTTTGTCTCCCTAGTGGCAATGTTTAAACACCGCACCAGGTACTCACTTGAGGCCGAGTCGATTTAGGTTAGGCCCAGGACCGGTTCAGATAATTGTCACCGGTGTTGGCCGTGAGCGGGAATCGAACCCTGGTCGCCGGGTTCATGGCGAAGCGCAGCGCTAACCGCTGCACCACCGCTCCCCACAGGCCGCCAACCCTGCCAGCACAAGGTGGTGATCGCCGGCAATCACGAGCTGAGCTTCGACGCGGACTTCGTGGCGAGCCTGGACGACCCTTGGAGGTACTTCGGGATCCCGGCAACGGCGGGGCGTGCCGACGTCACCATCCCCCGGCACGTCCGCTCGCTGCTCACCAACGGCGTCTACCTCCAGGACGGCGAGACGGAGGTCCTCGGATTCCGCATCTACGGCTCCCCATGGTCAGTCTCGTTTGCTGTCGTCGTGGTGGTGGTGGTTGTGGTTGTCGTGGTTGTCGTGGTTGTTGTTGTTGTTGTTTACTGCCGCCTTCGTGCGCCGGAGGGTGAGGAGTGTAAAACCCGGGTCGTGTCGCGAGCTCCGGTG